CATACATATTTCCTCTTTATCCTTAGTCTCAATGACCTTAGTTCCAGGACTACAGCGCTTTCAAATCGATATAACTTCTAATAACCTAACAACCTAATTGCTCATTAAGAATTCACTCGTACCTAAAATAAACCCAACTAGATCTATACCTTTGCCAACAATTATTAAAAAAACATGTTCCGTATAATTCCTTCTGATAAAATAATTACATTATTTAATAATTTAATAAGGAGCAGACTTGTTCAGAAATTATTCAATATTTTGTCACGCCCACATAAGTAATAAAATATAAGGGGAGAAAACATAAATCTAGACACAAAATAACACTTATTTATGTAGGCATTCATATTACCAACCGTAGCAAGTATCCTTTCTGTGGGTCTAGCGATAGTAATGTGCAGGACACCTAATTGTGTCTCATACCTCTTGTTTAAATAATCAATTTCTATTTTGAACTAAAAAAATGTGGACTTTTCCTATAAGATCCTAGAAAACCCTGAACAAATTTTCCAATCTGTGATTTTCTCTTCAAATCTCAAATAATGAATAATGAATGAATACTAGCAAATATTTTCTATCGCCATAGAAATTTTTCATAGCCTTAACATAAGTTGCTACTCAAAGTAACAGTAAGTTAAGTAATTGTGTTTCTATGTTTTTTTTTGTAACATTTTAAAAACAAATAAGAGCAAATGAATTAAAAAAAAAAATATCGCCAGAGACTCTCATTGGACTCATCAAAAAAATTAATTTCATCGCGAGCGATGACTTAATAATCTTTGGATCGAAATGTTTTGGAAATTTATGAAATATTTTTTTTTATAATGGAATATTAATTCCCATTTAATACAACAAGCATCAATATAAGCATACAAATTGCTTAAAGTTGATGGTTTATTTTCGGAAGTGAGGATTGAAATGAGGCTATTTCTGGCCTCATAATCGTACCTTTCAGCTGCAGAACATCCGATGCTAATGTGATATAATACATACATTGCTAACAGGTTTCAAGCAACCACTGAATGCTTATTCGTAACATATTCTGTTCAGCCAAGTGTCTGATCTCTGCAACACTATACATACATACGTACCATACGTAGCGTGCTTGTCATTAACGGCCATTTCACATTTCCTGTTATCGAGTTTCGTGTCCATTCCTGAACTATCAGCAAGCAAAGCAAACATGAGCCAAGTCCAAATACGTTCATGTTGATTGCACAAAGCCCTGGGCAAACCAGTTTACAAGAAACAAATTAGTGGGAATGATGATGTTTTTTCCTTAGCTCAATGATTACGGCGATAAGTTTGTTTTTTCGTCTGATTTCCCATACTTTTCCGTACTATTCTTCTTTGAGAGATGAAAAGTAAACAAAGTGGAGGATGAAAATGTTTGGCCGCGTCCGTGTCTACCACCAAAATTGCCGGAAATTTGTTGGGGCTTTAAATTACAAATCATTATCGATGCGCATTATAAATTTGCCCCTAAAGGAAGTGCTCACTGAAGCAACAGCAGCAGCTGGAACTCTGGGTCGCTCCTTATTCCTTATCCATTCCAACGTAAGCCCTGAAGCCTTAGGCAATCGCCTAATGACAACGACACTTGTAAAATCACTTTGAATAATATTGCATTTGGTGTGCTGTGGGCCTCTGTATGTTTCGGTTTGTCTATCCTTTTGAGCAGATTAATTTCCGGCATTTAGACTTAATTCCCCAGTTTTGGGCTAAAACCGAACGGAGAGGCCGGCCTCAGCAATCGATGCAATCAGCTAAGGACCAATTTACCAACATGTCAACGGAGCCCAAGGATGAAGAAGGAGCAGGATCCGGAGCCGAAGCAGAGAGGGAATCGAACCAACAACTCGGTGAACATTTGAGGCAGAAGCTTTAGATTTGCACACATTACCACTCAATCTTCATATATGGGATATGCAGGATTTCTCATCTCCCTTTTGCGGTAGGGTCCTTCGGCCCCGGCCCCCAGCCCCTAGCGCTGGCTGCACATGATGTCCACATGGCCGCAAAGATTTATTTACAATTGTGTTGAGACATAATTCCTTTTGATCGATTGCGGGACAGCTCCCAGGGCGAAACAGGGCTTGGGTATTATGGGGTGGACCGGACCCAACGCTTGTGGTCAGCTGTAAGTGATGATTCTTTTGGTCCTTTGTCTTTGTTGCAGTCTCTGTGTGCGATGGTTCCTTTTGGGCCGCATATTCACTGCAAATCAGAGGAAGTTGAAGCTGGCCCAGAATTATTTGCGCAATTTATGTGGCTTTGATTTCATTGGCAAGATGTACGGGCCCAGAGAAAGCAATTTATAGTAACTTGATAATTTGTGTTAGCATTTTCCAACCTCCCCCGAGAGAGATGGCAGATGCAATTTATTTTCCGGACATTTGCAGACTGAAATACGACATTTGAATTGTGGAATTGCATTCGGCTGCATAGGACAGATTACACAGAATATTGGGGAGTCTGCATCTCTCAGGGAATCCAATGAAGAGTAAAGTTGTTCCTAAATGGAATTCATAATGGGAACAATGCCAATACCACTTCTATTTGCTCATGCATTCAATCTGTGCTTGGATTCCATTCCCTGCTCCACTTCCCTTACTTCCTTTTCATCTGGCTTATGACTGGCTATAAGTCCAACATCAACTCTTTCTGCAATTGTTAAGCAGTTAGAGGAATTTCGCTTTCCTGTCCTCTGATTCATTCATCAAAAACCGTGCACTTAACACATGGCAAAGGCAACTGCCGGAGCAAGAAAGGAAAGGAAAAGGAAAGACGAGGCAAGGCAAGGCAAGGCAAGGAGCTGCAGCAGCATTGAGCATTGCTGCCTCATTCTTTGGTAATGCACATAAATCCTTAGAGTGCACACTTAACTCCTTTTTATGCTGCGACAAAGTACATTTACTAATGACCAAGTCAAACAATGGCCATGGCTGTGACGGGTGGGTAGAGGGGAACGAACGAACAGTTTACTGACTGAAGTAAAGTGGGAATAGCAGCGGGGTGACACCAGACATGAGCGAAGACGTTAGGGCTCCAGCGGAGTCAGGGGACTGGCCGCGAAGTAGCAATTTACGCGCTCAAGACGGCAGCAAGAGGCAAGATGGTGACAAAGCACGCAAAACGGAACAGCAGATGGGTCACGGACAGAGCGGGAAAGGGGATAGGACTAGCAGTCTTGCCCCGAGCCTGCAGTGTTGGCAGCGGCTGCATGTTAATTGTTGCAGCGACAGCAGCGGCAAAGGCAGAAGGGGCTGCAACAACTGCAAACAGAGGGAAAGCGTGTCTAAATAGCGGAAATTCTTCCAACATAAACACATTCACACACACACACACACACACCTCCAAGAAAGAAAATCCTTCCTGTGTACCGTGTGGATATTGAAAAGCAGCTTGGAATGCTGCAGTCGTATCCGGCACACCTCCTCCATACCCTGTACACTAAATGCAGGCTGATTTGGCTCGGTCTATATCTAAAGAATTAAATATTATCCAGTAACGTACTATTCGGAATTTTTGAATATTTTGTTAACACTAAATTAATGCTTTTCGCTTTACCCGGAAACTTACTTATCCTTTCTACCCTATAATTTATAACCAGGCAGAGTAATTGCTGTAATTGATTCTTTTTATTTATCAAGTTTAACCAAATATTCATGATATAGGTCCTAAAATGATTACCGAACTGTTATTTCTTAGCCCATTTATTTTCGTAGTTATTTTTGAAAACATCCAAAAGAATGGTCATTGCACTTGTAATTTTGATTAAATATAGAGCAACGATCGAAACTGAAGTAATATATAATTAAATATTAAAACAAACATTATGCTGTTTCAATCCAACTCTATTAGAATATCGTTAAAGTAATTGATTTTAATCTCTAAATGTATCTATCCTTCCAAAGAAAATTACAACAAAATTGGGGCTAAGAAGATAAGCGCCTGCAGCACTCTACAGTACCCCAAATTTAACTCAGTACGAGCTTTAACAGGATATTCAGAGGAAGCGAACTAAAAGTGTAGCTAACGCACAGGCTGAAAATGCAAATTACACTTTGGCGCCCAGTTTAAAATGTTGATGAAGTAATTAGTTTAATATGCGGAATGCCTCTGCCTTTCTGCGTGTATGTGGGCGGGCGTGGCATATAGAAAACTGTAATTGAAAAATGCACAACTTTGGTCAGGAGTCAGACAAAGGGACACGCCAGGGCGAGGGTAAAGTCGAGAGCTCGGGCTTTGAAACTTTTTTCATTTATTAAATTTGCTACATGAATGGCGCTCTGGATTCTTGCAAGAGAGTGTATATGGCAAATGTTTAATTAATTGTGTGGCACATTTTATTAAAATTGATGCAAATTTTTCGAGCCCATTCTGGTTATCAATTTTGCTAGATTTCCCAAAAACTTTTCCAATTTAGATATGACTTGAGACAAAACTTTGGACTTTGAGTAAAATATGAAAACGAGTTTCAAGCTTCAATTTGCTGGCAGCTATACAAATTAAACGATTACATGGTTACAAACATCAAGTAATTATTTGTATGGCATATTGGCATATTTCAATTTAACATGCATACAAAAATTATTATGTTTTAATTAGAAAATACACAAGCATCTGTATCCAACCATAATAATTTTCCGAAAGTAGGCAACAACTATAACTGTCCTTTCCTAAACAACCACAGACTTCCAATATTTACCATTAATAATCCTTTACAGACCTTAGCCAACACAACTCTTCAAATCATAAATATCACTCTTTCATTTCGGCAAAAATCTAATTTTTATCACTTAATATAAATATTAATTTAAATTAAGATAAATTTAGCAATACTAAATTTATCTGTTAAAATGTTTAATATATACTTGAAATCAATTGAGACTATTGAGACGCCAATGTTCCGTTAAACATAGCTAGTATGTTTAATTTTATTAGTTTTTAGTTTAAGCATGCCGTTTATTATCAGTTATCAATAATGCTTTAAATTGTTTCAAACTACAATTCATAATACACTTTTTGATTCACACTAACTCAACACACAACACAAAAACACATTTTTAGTTTTTGATATTGGTACTAAAAGCTAACAGGATTATATAATATCTTCTAAGTTATCCTGTTTTAGAAGCTTTTCCTAGCTGCATCATGAGCCTCCTAGAATTTCACTCATATGAAAAATATGTGGACCAGTTCATGACTCTTAACGACGTTCGCTATTTGCGCAACTGGGACTTTCAGAGGAAATTAATCCAGAATGCTTGCGGCAAGAGCTGCCTGGGCGGCCTGCTTACCGAAGCGGAGTACAACGATCGTCGTCAGAAGGAGATGGACATGTTGAAACCACGGGGTCTTGCTGGATCTCAACTCTTTGGCGACTACTTGAACAACAGTGATCGCGTGCTACAGCAATTTGCCAAACGAGAGAAAATGTTGCTCAATAAGCATTTGTCGGTGAGTTAAGTGAAATACATTAAAGTTGCAGTATCTACATATAATTACCAGAAATGTCACGAGTTAGCTTTTAATATCTTGTCATTAAAGTCGCTTCTGCCAAAAGGAAAAAATGTCTCTAAATGATTCATGGCCAACTTGAGTGATGTTGTACCTATCAACCTATATCTGAAAAGGTTGGATTTTGTGCGTGCTCGAGCAAAGCTCATTAAAACTCACTGAAGAAAGGGGGACAACTAAATTAATAACTTTTGTCAATATTATTTGGGACCACGCTGTTAGCACGCTGGAAACCCCGACCACACTGATTTCTACTTTGAATATTTGTATTTGCATGCCCACTAATAAAATTTCCACCCTTTGCTACTCCACAGACTATTGTCTACCTGTTGATGCGCAACAGTAATGGCCTGGAGGTGTCTGGTTTCATCGATCTGGAGCAAAGTTTGCGCGAGTCCCGGTTCCTTAGCTCGAAGTATTTCGTGGACTGGAAGGGTGTGTTCGAAGGCACGACCAAGCTTAAGCCGGCAAAACACCACCTGAGTCACTACGACTGGTACAAGAACCGGGTAGTTTACAACGATAGCGATAACTTCCAGGTGGTCAACGAAGGGGCACACAGCCTGCTGATGAAGCACCGCGGCGACCACAAGATGATCTGTGTCAATATGGGATGTGACTGTTCCGCCTCAAAGAACGCCAGACGGACCATGCACGCGTCGCCCATTTATGGACACGCCATATTTTTCGATCACATAATCAGGCGCATCAATTAAAATGGGCTTAGTATGTCAATAAAACTCAATTACGGGGAAATAAAAAAAGAAAGGCCATTACTGCTATGCCGACAATAAGATACTCACCACACAACTTGCTATGTTTATTTGATCAAGAATTTACATATGTACATATTTTATGGGCTGAGTCTCACCAATTTTGATCCTTAGAAAAAACAGAAGCGAGCGAGAGCGAATGCCCGAGCGATTTTCCAATTCAAGGGCGAGTTCAGACGAGAGCACAAAGCAGATCAGCGAGAGAGGCCAGGAGACGAAATCGCGGCATTCAAATTCGATCTCTTGTACCATTTTTATTTTTATTTCATCACTTTTTAAACTTTACTATTCGTACTGTAGCGCAAAAGCCATATACCCTCCGAATGCCGGGTATAAAAAGCGAAGTGACCTCGAGGTCAAATTTGTCGGTGACAGTTAACGTAAATTGCTTTTCATATCTTATCAGTTCTGGTCGAGCCTGGCCACAGCAATGTATGTGTGTCTACTGACATTTTTGATGGACATTTTGAGGTCTACATCTACCCAGTTCAACCATCCCCTCTAACTGAACTGTCAGAAAGCGGAAATTACCCGAGCTCCATGGCATTTTGTTGTGTGTATGGTGGACGCACTTCAATTGCATAAATCTATTAACTGTCGCCTGGTGGAGTGTCTCGAGTGCCGACGCCTCCGACCGGGCTACGAGTACTCGTATATGGCTTTGTTTGCCCATTTTCCCTTGTTTGTCCACTACTTTGTGTTGGTCTGTCGTTCTAAGAGTCAGTCGGCCCATCGGTAAACTTCAAATGCTTTGTTGACTGGCGAGATGCTAATTTACCGGCTCTGCTTCTATTTAATTGGCCGTCGTGTCAACGAAAATGTTCAGGATTTACCACTACTTTTGATGTGGCCTTTGAATATGACAATGATTCCGACGGAGAGTGCAAAGCTTTGCCACAGAAAATCAATTAATGAATTGTGTGATTTAATAGTGCGTAATCTTACAAAACTTCGACCAAATTTATTGTCAATAGATGAGGATGAAAGCATAGCCCGACAGGTCTGCCGTTTTACGCAAAAATTAATCCTTCGTTTTCGCAAAATATTTTTTCTACCGAAATATAAATTAAACGGCACTTTATACAACAAAGCAAAACTTAATTGCAAAAGAAAAAAAAAAAATAAATAAATAGTTCAGACTACTGCATTATTGACATGGAAATTTGCCAGAGCAAAACCAAATAAATAATAAATGTTTTTAAGTTATGTTTTAAATGCCATCTGCAGTGGCACTAACAATTTAATTTGCATACACAATTAACTGTTAAATTATAACTTGCAGATTCACTTTAGCCCCATCTCGAGGCCAACCTTTACATATGTGTGCATAAGTATGTATGTATATCTCCAAGCAACAATTCAATTAAAATAAACATCCAGAGTTCCAGCTGCAGCTGCACAAGCAGCAGGTGCAAACGGAATATACTTGCCGGGCCAGGTGGCTAGCTTTTCCTTTTGCCTCGACTGGCGGCAGGTAGGCTAATGCCCACCCACCGACACGAAAGTCCAAATAAATATTTGCTCGGCTTCCCTTAGTCAAGTCCACAGACAGGACAAGCCCATTCGTAGTATTTTAACTGCCGTAAGTTTGGTCTATACTCGTGCCATGTCTCTGTTCTGCACTAAGATATGGCAAATTTGTTGCCCCCAAAACAACAAGGGACTGCCTGCATTGAGATTAAATTTTACAGGCTAAATAAATTTCATCCGAAATAAACTTGCAATTTACTGCCAGACTGCCCTTTCAAGGACTTCACACGCGCCGGGGGGGACAAAATTCACCTAAATTTTGCTTCGATTTTGTATTGAAATTGGATAACTAATTTTGTTATATAAATAAAATTTTCAGGCTCCAACTAGTTATAAGAAATACGTAAGATACATAATTCCTTCAAATTAATTTTATTGTGAATAGCTGAAAATTCATGAGAAATCCATATTCATGAATACATAATTAAAATTGAGATCCTGTCCACGATGACTTGCTGTCAACTTGATTGGATTTATGCTTGAGCCATTGGTCACACGAGCCAGCAAATAATTTATGACTGGACCCACCTAAGCAGCCCCTGCCCTTCCCTGTGAGGGCTTGGCCTGCCATATGTTTCGTTTGCTATTGCTGTCTGGACAGAAAGAACATACTAATATTTCATAAGGTCGTAAGCTGTCGCAAAAGATGCCTAATAAATAATTTAAGCACTCAAGATTGGACATCTGGTGAAGTTACGTGCCATGAAAGTTAGGCCCATCCAGAACCCTTTTGGCCCCCGAAATAAACACATAAAGCGGCGCCGCCATAAAGAAAACATCATCAGGGGCAATTCGAGCAAATAAAATGGGGGCTGAGTGAAAGGCATATTAAATTAAGCTTCATGCCGCAAATGCCAAAGGTCTCTTCAGTCGTTGACTTACCCACCTCAAACTCCGCCCACCCAAACAACAATCATAAAATGTGACCAATAATGAAAATAATGAAGGAAGGAAATGAATGAAATGTTGCCCAGCAAATGAAATTTTTGCTCCTCTCTCTGTGAGTTGCCTTTGCCGTTTCCGTGTTTCTGGAATCATGAAAGAAGTTCGTTCCTCGCATAGGAATGAGTACTTGAGTGAAGTTAAAGTTCCGTCACTGGTTGTATAGTACGAAAGTTTAGTAATTAGTAAAAGAGAACCAAAAGTGTGCCATCCATCAATATGAAAGACGATTGACTCTCGTCAAATTATATTTACACAAGTCATAAAAGTCTATCTTGAGCGGGTAAGGGATGGGCTTAGGTTCTGTCTCGAAAAAATAAATTCTCGCCTTCCACAAAAAATGAGATATTAGAATATCCCTGTCTTGTCGTCCAATCTCCATAGTACAGATATATCCTAACTTAACCGATCAATTTCTAATACTGAAATTCTTATTGATAAATACAATTTATGTCCTGCTCCGGGCTTGTTCGGGCTTAAATCTCAACTCTTTTCGTTTGAAGCATTCCCAAATGAACATTAAAATAAGTTCGTATACTTTTGATCGACTTATTGTCCTAGGTGATTTTAATCTACCTAATATTTATTGGTCATCGTTTGTTGACCTGCTGTTTTCATCTATCCAACATGATTTCGTCAAATAATTATTTGGCTGAAATAGATTTGGTATGGTTTTAGACATAGTCTTAACTAGTGATTTATCGAGTACTCTAGTCAGCAGAGGATCTCCTCTATATAAGCCGCTAACCCATATTATAAATTTATGCTAATTCTAGTTCCGTCGAAACTTTCATACAGGCCTTAGCTAGCTTCTGCTTCAAAACCGCTGATGCCCCCCCCCGCCCCCCCCGCCCCCCCCCCCCCCCCCCCCCGGTCTGATCCGTCGCACCGTGGGTTCTCAGCCTGAATACGGAGGCAAAATTAATTTGTTTAGGAAGTGATAATTTTGATCATCGGATGATCGGATATAGAATTTTGACTATCTTTGTGGTCTCTTATTTTAGGTTTATTAATTTTTAACATTGTTAATAAACAATCTAGATTGTTGGAAAGACTTCAAATAAATTTTAAAATCGACGCATTTTTTGTCAAAATAGCGGTACCGCAGGTATACTAAGAATACAAATAATGAACCAACATATAAAAAAACTTTCGTTTTTACTTTTTGTTAAATCATGTAACTTAAAAATTGAATGACACTAAAAAACAAGAGCATTTGCAAAGGCGTATCTTTAAAAATGTCCTCTAAAGTTTCTGGATATCGTAGCAAATATTCGTGCAGATGATTTTAGAAGATTTGTATTTTTTATTCGTTCACAAGTAAATTATAGTTTTTTTATCCACATATTATCTTTTCTTGGCTTTCCGACTAAATTTGTAAATTTGATCATTTTCTTTCCTTTCACGTCTTACCTTTCCGTCTAAACTACTCCTCTGGATTAATGCCTATCTTTGCAATCGTTTTCAGCGGGTTTGCTTTAATTCATCTCTCTCTAAAACTGTTTTAGTCTCTTCTGGGGTTACTTGGCAACTGCGCCTGCCATGGCTTGGGCCGCGATTAGTGCCGCCAACTTGGCAGTCGAGGGAGGGAGCGAGTTCTTTCTTCACTTTTTTAACAGCGATGGTATTGGCCGTGTAGTTGCCACTGTCAGTCCTACTGATACTCCCACTCAAGATTATTGAAATAAAAGCAAAGAGTAGCAACACTCGCACTCACGGGGCACAGAAATTAAGCATTGGAATTATTCACGCCCTCGCCTTGCACCGCAAAAGCAGATTAAGTTTATGTTCGGGCCAGCGGCTACTTAAGCGTCTATCACAATATTAAATGTGGCTGTAACTAGCTGTAAACCTAAGCTTATGTATGTCCCCAGCGTTCGGCAGTGCTGCTGCGCTCTCCCTGTTAAAGGGCGCTCTGCACCTGCTGCGTCGGCTCCTGCATTGATCGGCCGTCGTGGCCCAAGTAGTTCTATGCTAATCTCTCGCCGCATAGGTTGCATACTGAACCCCCGCTTGTGAACATTTATCTGGCTGGGCAAAAGAGCGAGCAATTGTCTTCAGCTAGCCGCCGGTATAAATAAACATTATAACGTTTAAATCAAAGTCTTTAACTGATTTGGATAAATATAGGTGCCAAACAAGCTTGGCATCTCAAACAGTTTAATTAAATCATTTACGGAGGCACAGGCACAGGGGAATTATCTGATGTCATTTTCTAACGAGTGTTATCTGATGTCATTTTCTAACGAGTGTTTCAGGGGAAAGAATTACTGTAAGGGAGAGCTGTCTATCTTAAATTTTCTTTTTTGCGATACATATCTGGAATATCGGAGTCATCCGAACCTGAGGAGACTGGCAGATTGCCATCCTTGTCGCCTAACAACAGTCGCTCGACCAGCTCCACCTGTACAGTGAGGATTGCCGATAGGCCCAGGAGCATCTCGATGCGCTGGCGATACCGGAAGCGTAGTTCTTCGTCGCTGGGCTTCTGGACAACTGCAAAACTGCTCTGCTTGGACCGGATTAGCTCCTGCCTGTACATAGCCCAGGCGACATTCTCGCGCACAGTGCGCCCGCCGGAACGGTAGCTCTTGCGAAAGAAGCAGCTGCCACAGATGGCGAGGGTGTTGGCGAACTCGAGGCGCAGGAACTGCAGAAAGTTGATGCGGCTCATGCTCTTATTTTCCTTGCGGTCTTGCTCGGCGCTCTCGAAGTACGAGAAGATGAGGGCGGCAAAGACGTTCATGAGAACCACGGCAATGATGAAGACCAGCACAAGGTAGAGCACAATGCCCAGTGCCTTGCCGCCGTGAAACATATCCCGGGGATGCACCTCCGAGCTGAAGCCGAAGGCAAAGCACAGGCAGGCGATGATGCACTTGACCAGCCTTTGAAAGTACTCGCTGTTGTTGCCGTTGATAATCGCCACTGCCGTGCCGAGGCCCATCAGGAAGATAATTATGATGAGTGCGGTGCTGGCGACGGCGGGCCAGGCAAGATACAGCGTTTTGGTGAACACGGAAAAGACGCTGGCAAACTGCAGCACCTTCCAGAGGCGGAGCGTGGTGATGCAGACGATCATGCCCAAGACAACGTTGATCAGTAGATAGAGGCGCGTGGGGCGCTGAAAGTTCAAGTAGTCCCGCGTGGTGGACTCCTTGAGAAGCTTCAGTATTTTCGACACCTCCCACTCGCGCAGTATCATCAGAGCAACCAGCATAAAGTTCAGTATACAAATGACAACATCCACCTTGTTCCAGGCCTTTTTGATGGCGCTGCTATTGTACCACAGCTTGACCAGCAGGCTGCGGCAAAACTGAATGACAAGGATCAGGTAGAGCAGCATAACGATTATCTTAAGGTGGCTCATCTGGTCAAGGCTTTCGAGTAGCTTTGTACTCTCCACCGTGGCATGGGTCAGCTGTAAGCCAAAGTTCGTGTTCTCCACGAGAAGTGTACACACGGTAAAGATATTCGCATCCGCATTGAACATGGTGAAGTCCATAAAAACCGCTGAAGTATTGCGGCGGTCCAGCCAGTTGTAGCGCTTGAGGAAGCCCAATACCTTGAGGCTGTTGTGGGGCCCGGTGGTCAGCAGTGCCACATAGCCCAACAATTCGGGGTAGTCCATGTCGTAGCCATAGTGATTAAAGTTCAGCAGCAGACCATCCTCGAGGCTGGGTGTGTGTCGGATGGGTCGCCATGGTTCGTAGATGCGCCAGTATTTATCTTCGTAGTGGAGCCGTCTGAAAGGCTTGTTCCACTCGGGCATGCCCGTCCCGTAGTCCCACTGTGGATCGTAGACACCGATGTTGTCAATGTGTCGCAACTGTCGCAGCCGAATCACGCCCAACCGTTTCATCTGGCGTATTTGCAGCCAGCCAGTGTCCATACTCTGATGCGGATTAAATCCCTTGATCAGCGTCAGCTCGATGAAGTCGTACACCTGATCCATGAACCTGATCTCCTTCAGGCCGAGTGTATTACTCGTATTGTACGACAGGAGGGACATCACGGCGTTGGTGTTGTGGTAGAGCAGCGGGTCCTGGTGCACAATCACCACCATGAGCAGTAGCAGAAAGTATGACCCGTAGAGCTTCAGATCCTTCATTATATGGCTGTACTTCTCATTCAGCTTCTCGTTACGGTGCTGAATGGTGATCATAAGCTGCGATTTCAGACTCCTCAGTCTCGTTCTTAGGTAGTCCAAGTGGTTGTACTTTTCCCTGGCTTTTTCCGGCTTGTAATTCATGGCGTGCTTCCGCGGCCAGGTGGCCGAATCAATGGACAGCACAATGAACTTGATCGGATCGAGAACGATGAACTGGAACAGCAGCACCAGCACAACCGTCACGACCATGGTCTTGAACTTCTTCGTCTCGTGCTGGAAGCCCGTGAAGATGGCTATCATGACGAAGCTAGCCAGCATCACAAAAGCGGTGACGCCAAAAAATATGGCATTGCTGCCGCTATGAAACACGCCAGAAGTCATTGCTAACGTTTTGCTCCTCTCCCGATACTTCCTGATACGTTCTAAAGCAAATACTAACTGAAACAACCAGTGTGTAAAATGACATTAGTGGCACAGCAGAGACTGTGATTCGGATTTAGCATGAAATGGAACTGTGAGGAACTTACTTGGACCCTTCTATACCCTAATCATTCTAATACAAGTAGGCTGCGTCTTATTTACATTAAATTTATTTGTCACGTCAAACTCAACTATGCATTACTTTCCTCTTCATTTTCAACTACTCTGAACTTAAATCCTTGCTTAGCCTTTGCCTTAATTATAAAAAATATTTCTTTTTGTTTTCCTTTTGTACTAAGCTATTGTCTTTGCTCCCACCATAATTGGCTGTGATTGGGACCAAATCGGATATTGTGCATCTGCTCCACCGGGTCAGGGTTTTTGCCACAATCTATTTTAATTTTAATTGATGATACAAGTTTATAGAGGTACGAGTATGTAAAGTAAATTTTCTCTCACAATTAAACAGACTAGTTTTAAACTTTTAGCAATAAACAATTAAATTATTTGACCTCTTATCCGTATCCCATTGAAAATATAAGTTACCAATTACCCCAAAGCATACTAAAAACAAATTTCCAACATGCACCATCTCAAAGGAACCCAAACAAAGGGCATAATGAAATGCCATCAGTTACATGAAAACTAAACCAATAATGCCCAATCATGACGATCCAAGTAAGTGTTGGGTAAAATGATATTGGAAAATAATACGCATACGCTGGGTAACGATGCACAAGCGATTGTAACATTTCCTATTAAATTTCTGATTCAATTGCCAGCAGTTTACAATGTTTGCAACATCCACAGCTATAATGGCATGGAGAATAAGTCAAATTTATGAGCCACACAAAATCGTATAAGCCACAAATCAAAATGCAATACAAAAGCGCCAAAGCTGCGGCAGCAGCGCCTACAACAACGATGAAAATCTGGGTTCGTTGGCAGCAAAAACAACAAATAAAACATTAACAATTCCAAATGCAACAGAAACAACAATTATGTATCAAGTAGAAAGCAATTGTAAATTTCGTAACTAAAGTCATATTGTCTATGCATTTATCAAATGTCTGTGTCTGTCGGTCTGCTTCTGAGCGTGTGTCTATCTGTGTTTTGGCGGATGCCATAAATAAAACTCAGCTAAAAGATAGACAGTAGAGACCATCAGACATAACATACTCGTATGAAGGGGAAAGAGAGAGAGAGAGACAGAGAGAGAGAGAGAAAGAGAGTGGAGATGAGGCAAGGGCAAAGTCTCAAGTCGGAAATTGTTTCGCAACGTGGGAAATGTTTGATTTATGTGTGTTTTTCTAGTGACCCGAGCGCACCACGTACACTGAGAAAGAAAATTGCTCGTTAGTAAGGAATATAACTTTTGAGATAGAAGGCGAACCAGAATTCCAAACGATTATAAAAGCACTATTCCCAATTCCCTGTAAAAGCTTCTCTTCCACAATATCAAGAATGAAAAATATTAAAGAAATTTGTTGTATGATAACAAATTCTAACAATAAAATTTGTATTAACAAATGTTAAATACCGTCGCAACTTTATAATAGAAAATCTGAAATTCATTATATTAACATCGAATTAACCTACAATGGAGGTCTACTTTGAGGTTTTCGAAAGAGTTTGAAGGTTTAACATTTAAATTAAATACCGAGGATACAGAAACTTTCGCAACATACTATTACATACTACCCCCCAGGTCAAGGCCCCCGCAAGGCTACCGCATCGCACAGGAAAAGACGGCCCCCGAAGAAGAGATACAAACACAGAAGTTGTAAAATGTGTAATTGATGATGTGGCAAAAAGGACATAAAAAGAAAACAGAATACGAAACTTCCTTGTAAATATGCTATTAATGTGTCCTCACCCACTGCCTGGATTTTGTTGACATTTTCGACAAAACATCTACAAAATGTCGGGAGAAATGAACAACAATGGCAGCCAGAAGCAGGACCTGCTGTAGGATAAGTGCATTTGGAGTGCAGGACACGGAGCGCGTGACGACATGCAAAGTGCCGAAGAAGCAGGGGTAGAAGTAGAGACGGGACGGCCAACTAAGCCAAACGGAAAAGCAAACTGCATGCAGGAAAAAAAGAGAAGGGAATGTAATGTTGACCATTTGGCAAGCAGCACGAAAAGTCATTTTGTTTCCCAGAAACGGAAGGAAAGGACACGAGACACCTTGCTTGTTATCCCAGTAAATATTTCCCCCGACAAAAAAGCATACGAATATTATCTAACTAAGGGCAGTCACTCTGGGTGAAAAATTCCCATTTGAAGCTTAACAAATTGATTTTTTAGTTTGAATTTCTCGTACCTCTATTTTTCTGCTGTGTGTTGCATGACACTTGCTCATTCTCGCAATGCTGCTTCTATTGTACATAGTTTCTGTTGTTGTCGTGCTGCATATTCTCCTAGAGTGATATATAGTATGCAACCTTTGGTGGCGCCTTCCTTGCTTAATGCACTGGAAACCATTTTCTCCACACCCATCTCTCTGTGCGGAGAGAAAGTGGGAAGCCTTCGCCTTTGTTTGTTCTATATTTTTCGGGGCATAAATAAATTTTCATTAATTTATATGCAGGCGACGCTCAACGGCATTCTCATAATTTGCGGCATAAGTTTGTGCCCCAAAAGATACAGGCAATGCAAGAAGAGGGGGAAAGGATGAGGATATATGTGGTAAGAGGTGGAGCAAACATTTTGGGCTTGAGTGTATTCTGGCTTTGGCATGAAAAGGCGAAAAGACGGGGGATATTAAGATGAACATTGGCCTGAACATTGGCCACCCAACTTTTGTATGGCTAATGAAGCTGGCAAACGCTGAATCAGCGGCAGTGTGGTAGATGAAAAATATATTTTATTTTGCTTGTCAGACATTTTAGGCTGAACGGATATCGAAGTCTTTCAGATGAAGAGCCATAAAAAGAGTGTATCTTAAAGCCCACATTATTCTGGTATCTACATATGTATGTACATTTTACATATGTATGTATTATGCAGTCCTTCCTTAAAAATATTGATTGTAACATTATACCTACAATTCTCTGTAGGAATAGATTCCAGTGGAGTTGAATTATTTATTCCTATTTTCCATTTGACTTCATGCGGACTTGATTAATTTTGATGTTTATTCAAAATTTTTCAGCTGAATGCATTCCCTGTGGAGTCAATTACTTTTTACTTTAGTAAACTCCTATCATAACAGTGCGCTGCAATTGTATGCCCCTTTCTGTTGATGCACAAACAATTGAATTTAAGTCCGCCCGTTTCCGAGCTGGCAAACAGACCGCAACAAAAACAACAGTATCTTCAGTGGCAGAGGCAACAAAATTTAATCGATTTCCATGAATAACTCACTTTGTGGCACAATTAAGTGCATCACACCTCCGAGAGCAGACATATGTACAATGGACAGTGGAAAATGCTTGGATCTAAAGCGGAAAAGTGTAAATATGTTACTCGTATACATACATATTTACACGTCTGTTTTAAGAGCATACTAAAATATCATTACAACATACCAATATATGTATGATTAGCATTATTGTCTTATTGTCTTTTTACAAAATGTACCTAAAATATATTCATTACCTATTATTTGTCGATTACTTAATACATTGTTTTTTTTTTTAGTTTCCATATTTATTCACTATGTACGAGCTGCTTACTATAGTTTGAGATTAGTTGTTCGATTTTCCATAGTCCAACTTCCATACATATACATATGTACATATTTTATGGCGTAATTCGACTCTCAGCTGAGAGTCCACTGTGCTGAACGCTGGCATACATTTTTACTCGATATGCGGAGACGTGCGTATTCCTTTGTTTGTCGCTTTGTAATTGTTTCATTTAACAACTTTTAATTGAATATTTCAGGCGCGATGCGTCTGTTTACTTACTCGAAAAAGGCGACAGCGGTACATTGATCAATTGTTTACACGCTTTACGTAAATGAATGCATTTAAACCGAGATACCGAGCCACTGACGCATCAGTCTCTGCTTCCAGGGGATTACTCGCGTTAATTGCACAAAGGGGCGGCCGCAGAAGACACATTAACAGCGACGGCAAAAGAAACCCAGAAACAAAAGCCGATTTCCGCGCCCCCGGGCCAAACCCGGTAATCGATTGAGCATTAAGCAGAGTGAAAAGGTTCTGAACGCTGCCGCCATGTTTATTAGTTTTAATAAAGCTATAAAACGACCCACACAAACACACACGCATTTTCGCATAACAAATAAACTCTGACACTAAGCGCTCCAGCAAATGACCTCGGGTTTTATTATTGCTGTTGACGTTTTGTCCTACACCCGCCAAAACTGCAAGTTTTATGGGTATGTTGGGTGGTTGGGTGGCCGAATGAGCAATAAGTTGACATATACGAGTAAATAGAACCAGCGGCAAGGTGAAGCTTATTTCACGATTAAATTCAATGAAATGGAACATTAACCTCAGGTACTTACATCTTCAAAATTGATTGTGAATGTTCACATCTAAGAAGTGGAACTCGATTCTTCCCCCACACTAAAGGTCATACTACTAGTCGAGCAATCCTTGAGTGTTTTACTTTAACTACTTTTTCGGCGGCGCATATAAAAAATTCCATTGCCATTGCTAAACCTTTGAGCAAACCAAAATTAAATGAACGCACACCCATGCAGCTTTTGTTTGCTCGCCTATCCATGTCTCAGTCATATGGGTGTGTGTGTGTTGGCTTTTGTGTATTTTTGTTGGAATTTTGTTGACAATATTGTTTACAATGGGCCGGTTGTGGGAACTGGGACGAACCGCTGCCATATATGTATGTACATACACACACTATTTGCATACATTGTAGTATATGGCCAGCATCAAAAATAAAATGGACGAAAGAGTGATGGGACGTGGTGGTGGTAATGACTTAAGTTGGGTTGGGAGAGAAAATATCTAAAATATAGCCATTGTAGGCATGAGAACTTCAAGGATACAATTTTTAATTCTGCTCACGGATCATTATTATAATTATAATATAATGTAATATAATATAATAATTATAATTACATTACAATATATTTTGGTTATCATTGCACTTCCGGCACAATAATATAAATATTAATTGACCTTTTAAAGCGGCTAGTGAAATTCATATATACGAAACGATTCGAAGGAATCCAAGCAGAGTGGAGGTTGCCTAGAGACTTAACTCCCGCCTACATAATCTTATTCAAGAACTAAACTCCAACTCCCCACTCCCCCTACCACAAAATGGTAAGAGCTGCTTCTGTATATGTTGTGTATGAACATAGAAAATTCGATTGGAATCTTATCAGGGAACTGTACATTTATTAGCCTGCCTTTAGCCTAGAGGCCCAGACTCTAGACTAGACTTTCGTTTCTTTCTTTCTGACTTTTTCTTCCCACGATATCCCAAGTCAATAAACGCACAAAGAGATTAATGGATATTTTTACACCTTTCCTGGCGAAGGAGCCTGCCATTTTATATCCCTAATGATCTGGTACCCACAATACCGTAAGTGAACCCAGATAGTTGAGTTCTGAAAACATTACTCGACCAGGTTGGATTTGATTGTGAATGATCTCAGCGCTGATGGCGATAGATCAACGGATCTTGTTGTTTTCCAACGCCATTTTTCATAGTTTCAACAATTTTTTGTACTACCTCCTACATTTAATGGGAATTCAGTTAATATTTTGAACACTTTTCAAAGTCAAAGGCTTTGCCTAGACAGAAATTGTGTCCGGTGGTGTTGACTTTAGGCCCTCATTCGCCAACCAGCTTCAGGACCACGACCACAGGAACTTTATGTCACATCTTGAAAGAGTCGACTTCATTTAAAATTTAACCAAAAAGCCGCCAACGTGGGGCCCAATGGTTTGGGATAAGGCGTTGCCGTGGCACGCAGATTCAACACACAATGAACATATATAAAAATACATATGTATATATGGATGTATATGGATATACGGGTATAAACCTCTGTCTGTCGGTGATAGGTGTCTGTCTGTGTGTGTGTGTGTGCCAGATATAGAATGTGTGTATACACCTGCTGGGGTGACATTTTACGGCTTTTTCTTTGTTAATTTCATTTGAAGCATTTAAAATGTGCACCGCCACCAACGCTGAAGCTGAAGCTGACAACTAAATACACAAGAAGTCCGCCTGACACGTTGCTCCCACTCCTCTGATCTACTTTGAACGTGCTGAAAGTTCTGCTCACCCAGTCTTTTGGAAACTTTTTTAATGACTTTGCCTCAGAGCACCCAACCATCTCCAGACCTCATCTCCAAATCCCACCCGCACCACAATGAAAGAAAGTCTTTGCTCGCGTGCACGAATATTTAACCACAAACGACGAGACGTCAAAATTAATTAGAAATAAAATTAGTTTTTAATGCCAAAGTGACTTTGTGTGTGGTCGTGTCCCTGTGTATGTGTGCATAAGAGAGAGCTGTAAAATATACTTTGACAGGGAAAAAAAATGACACAAAAAAAAAGAAAATTCTTGTCAAAACTTTGGGCGATGAAAAGTTTCCTTGCTTTCGTGTGCGTGAGTGTATCTTTGGGATGAGTTTCGACAGGAAATGATTTAATCTGCAAAAGTTTAACTTTTTCTTTATACATATTGGGAAAGTATACCATACATTGGTAACTATTAAGTAAGAAATATATAACCAATTTAAGCTGAATAATTTATTAAAAGGGATGGGAAAAGTGCATTGACAACCGGGATAACAAAATAAGATAAAAGATTAGTATCAATTTGTAAAGAATTTTTTATTTTGCTTTACATATTTATCTTTTTCTCTGAATGAGAAGAATAATGTTTTTTAGCTTAAGGGTGTGACAAAAACTACGAAATTGCATTCCCGCCGAGTCAAATAAAGGAAATTAACATATGTATTCTATTCACTTGCTATGGCAATTAGCCATATAAAATTAAACAAAAATTGTCTTTCATACTGAAAACCAGCGGTTGGATTTTAATTGGTTTGAATATTGACGTTCACGCATAATAATGTGATAATAACCAAATTACTCTATCCTTGCATTCAGATACAAATACTATGTACTAAGTAAACGGCATAAAGATATTTTTTCGTCTTAATATGAACTATGGATGAAACAATCAAGTTGTGAGGCAAGTCAAAATTAAAGCCAAAAAGTAAAGCTCAAACCCTCATCTGGGGAGTCAGCCCG